TCAGCTTGGATTAATAATAAACCTAGTTGTGAATTCTTTGAATTATATTAAAGTTTTAGGTTAGGTTTCAGTAAATTCCAACCAAAAGGATAAATCTGGCCCTTCCCTTGTTTTATTAAATAAAATTTTATTGGGATACAGATGTATTTATTCATTTAGGTACTATCTATAGTTGTATTTGTACTATAGCAGAAGAGCTAAGTAGGTGTGATTAAGATTATATAAACCATCGGGGCACCTTGATGGCTCAGTCAGTTAAGAGTCTGACTCATGGTTTCGGCTCAGGTCATGATCTCTCAGTTCATGAGATTAAGCCCCGAATGGGGCTCTACACTGACAGTGCGGAACTTGCTTGGGATTTTCTTTCTTTGTCTCTCTGCCCCTCCCTTACTCATGTGCTCTAAATAAATAAATAAATTTTAAAAATTATATAAACCTTAAAACCAAAAAGTATTTAATATCTCGACATAAACAGAAAAAGGTTTTCATCTCTGTTGTAGATTAATATCCCATGGTTTAACATATTTTCAAATTCCTGATGCAATCACCAAATTTCACTGGCTGACCACAATAAAACTATATTTCTTGGACTTATCATTCATTCAAAACAATTCAGCAGAGCATCAGGTAGTTCTCATAATAGCTACTCAGCAAACCAGGTTACAAAAGCTTTATCTCAAACTTTGCTACCATAAATCTGATAGAAAAAAATAGTAATAGAAACTTGATAATTAAGCACTGGCACTTAGCTCTTTCCTGAAAATGACATATAAAACTTCTCATTTTTTATTGGCCAAAGCAAGTCACATGACCATCTTTAACTTCAAGGGAGTAGAAAGTCACTTCTATCATATGCCCAGGAGAAAAAAGAGACAAAAATATTTTGGTGTAGAGTGTTAATAATTACCATCATTAATGTAGAGGCCTGCCATTTCTTGAATATTGAAGCATCCCATTCAAGAATATTCTATGCTTGGAAAATCATTAAATGTTATACCAGAACTTTTCATTGTATACTCATTTATTTTCTTGAACCAACTCTTAAAACAATTTTTGATACATATACTACTCTCAGTACTATCATTTCTGTTACTAATATAAATGGGATTTCTAACTGCTTGTTGCTTTACAAATTGAAAATTTATATATATATATATATCCACACACAAACCTTTTTTAAAAACTATTAATTTCAAAATACCAGGGACAGTGTAACTTCTCTTTAAATTTCTTAAAGCAGTGAGTTTTTATTGTACCTTCAGTGAATTCTCAATTAATTGCAACTAAATTGGTTTGTACTTAATTAAGTTCAGTATATTTCTAGGAAAAGGGGAGATTATTGAGAACTAACAAAGATTAAAAAAATGAAAAAAGTCTTAACTTTTACTAATAGATTTTCAAATTATCAATACCATTTTCACAGAAAATAAACATTCTGGTAACCATGATAGAGATAATTTCACTGTGAATCCACGTGCCTAAGCCTCCTACATTATTAATTTTATTATTTAGATGCATGACTGAAGTAAGTGAACCCTACAAAATTCAAGGACATTTAGAAATATTTACTTTGCCAGGACCAGTTTTGAAATATCTTCACGAGGGAGGAAGTGGCCTTTGCCAGTTACAAGGGACTCACAATTCTCCTGTTTCTGTTTCAGAGGCCTGAGGGTAATTTGATGACTGATACTTTTTCAGTTCCCAAGAGAATCTAGTTAAATTGAGAAGAAAACAATCACCATAAATCATACACGATGTCTTGAGACTTAACATTTTTCATATAACTCAGAGGCTACTCCAATCATGACACTTGAATGACTTACAATAATAAGGTACATGGACCTCCAATTATCAAATGAGGGTGGTCTCGGAAGAAGGTAGAGATTTTAAAAATTGCAATATATTGCTAACAATCGTGATTAAAGGCTAAGTAGGGTTAGCAAAGAAATTGTCTCATCCTAGTCACCATCCATTTCATTAAGTTGAGATTCCAGCAAAGTGTAACACTTACAGAAGAAATCACAAAAACTGTTCAATGAATGAAAAACACATACTGTGCCAGATCCCTGCTTTAAGATTTTTTCTCTCCCTTATTTGCATTTATACTTTAGAGATATATGTTATTATAGAGGACCCGGTTATATTACAAAGTAATAGCTCAAATATACGTATGGCTTTCTTTCCTTATTTAGGTCTCAGAGACAGAATATTTCCTTCAACTGTCAAAGATTTACACATTGAAGCCATACACATTCATTAAAAAAATCATTCTTGTGTTTTGCTTATATTCATATAAATTTTAGTGAAAGGTGTTATTAAAAGATCAAAATATTTTTTCATCTCTATTAATAGTAAAATTAAGAGAAGCAGCATCAATTGATAAATACGATTGTATGCATTATCTGATTATTTATAAAGGAAATAAAACAAAAAAACAGAGATTAAATCTCCAATGCCACCCTTTTATCTACTCTCCTACCTGTCATTCCCAAAACTTTCCTCAACCCACTTTACCAATCTTCCACTCTTTTCTTACAGTAACATTTTTACTAAAACCAAGCTGAATTACTCATTATCTCTTGCACGCACCTTCTATTTTCTGCCTTGTTTTTCCCAACAATTTGTGTAACTGCAGTGCCTATGAACACTATACTCAGAATCTGTGATCTCTTTTAGTTGCCTTCTTACTTATATACTTTCACAAATCTATTCTAATCCATAGTGATCTCTCTTTCTCTAAACTCCTAGAACTTAGCAACAATACTTCCTAAAATTTTCATGCCACGAAAACATGACCAAAGGAACTACATGCTATAGTAGATCACCATGCCTTTTCACCATATTGGAAGCAAACTAAATAGAGCTTCCAATTGCCCCAGATCCAACAAGGTGGGCCAGCTTTCAGAATGTGGCAGAGCTCCACGCAGGCAGGCCTACAGGAAAACCCAATCATATCAATGTTTTGACAATATGTCAGGCATTGTATTATATCATGACTGACATCACACTTCATTATTGCACTCTTCCTCTGTTTCCTGAACAGATCACACATTTTTGAAAGTAGGGATGTTATCTTATTTATTTATAAATTGTGATAAAATATATATAACAAACCTTACTGTGTTGAGCATGTTTACGTGTATAGTTTGGCACCATTAAGTACACTGACATTCTGTTCCATCCTCACCTCCTTCCACCTCCAGCACTTTTCTTATGTTTCAAAACTGAAGTTCTGTCTCCATTAAACAATAATTCCTTCCCTCCATCCTCTGGCCCCTGGCATCCATCTATCACTCTACTTTCTCTATTACCTGGACTACTAGAGGTACCTCATATAAGTGGAATCACACAGTATTTTCATTTTGAGATTGGCTTATTTCACTTGGCAGAATGTCTTCAAGGTTTATTTACAATTGATTTTAAATATGACAGTGATTAGCAAATCGTGCAACAGCCAGAAGATAGATCCATCTATATCTATCTGTATCTATTATTTATTACTCATTTCTCTCTAAACAGCTTATATTTAGTAGCAACAATTATGTATTAAAAGAGCTAGTTTCTGATTACATTAGAAATTGTAAATCATCACTAAGCTTTACTGCATCTGGTATCTTTGATTTCCTGTTAAATTCTTTTAATGTGAATCAACATAGTCATTTGTTTGAAGGGCGTTATGTCTGACTTAGTGACAAATTGACTTTGATGTGTGGAGTATAGTTTATCACAAAATCACACAGTCTTCAATTGACCCTAATAATTCAATTATTTTAAATTAGATTATTGTGTCATAATCATTAATAAGACCGTGTCTCTTGATATTTCTTGTTCTTTGGAGGGTTTCTAATAAACCTGTAGAAATGATTTTTACTATAATCCACCATTTTCCTCTAAAAATTGTCAGTGATTTACTGATTTATATAATCAAGTTAGTACATTACATTTCTTTCTTATGGCTTATGATATTTAAGTAAACTAATGGCCCCATCCCCTGACAAGATTCTGTCTGTAATCCATGACAACCTGACAGAAACCAATCATAAAAGTCATATTAATATCACAATAAAATATATTTGAGAATGAAACAGACTTTTAAAACTAATACTGAGACAATTCCAAGCTTACGCTTTTTGCCTGCTACTTACATTCTCTCATATTTTGCAATTTTTGCTGCTCTATTTCATTTTATGGGTCACTATTCTAAAACAAATTGTAATTGAATTTGGTCATGCAGTTCTGCAAGCAGTCTATTTGAAGTATATTAATGTAGAATGCTTTTTTATCCTGAGGTCTTTATTCCCTTCTTTTATATTTGTTTTGAATATTTCTTGGCTATTACACCCAAACAACTGAAGTTGTGATTATCTTTCAAAGTTGTGATATGATTTTGAAATACATATTGATACTAAACACCCTTAAAACTATTAGTTTACATTGCATATTAATAATTACATAATAATACATTTAATAAAATAACACATTTTAGTAACAAGCAACAATGATGATAATAGAGAAAACGCAGGTATTTTCTTATTTCACATTGCCGATTCTCTGAATGTGCTAAAAATTGAATCCATTTTGTGCCTAAAGTTATTAAGTTTAAGTTTACAATAGTTGATGAAGGGCTGTGCAGAAAAATAAATTATTAAAATAAATACAACTTTAATAACAACTTTGTAAAAAATGTTACAATACCAATTTTAAAAAGCAAAGATAAATCTAACATTGATCTTGCTAATCCACTGCATCTAATGAAAGCCTTCAGATTGATACACAGAAATAACTTCTCCAACAACAGATATGTGGGTGATGACATTCTCTTGGAAAACTTCAGAGATTTTTTTCACAAGTCCATGAATGCCATTCAAACATTGTAAGTGTACTTCTCATATCAACAGTATAATTAATTTGCAATTCATCAGATACTATGCATATTCTAAGCCGCTAATGAAACAGACTAGAGTTTACATAAAGTGAAAATCTACGTTTTTCCATACCTGTTTCTCTGATTCAGGCCATAATCATTGAGTCATTTCATCTGATTCAGGCCATTCTTGACCATGTCAGGAAAAAACAAGCCACTCTATGCAATCAAAATATAAATGGTTTAGTACAGATTTAGATCATTGCTGTAAACACTAGTAGAGTGGAAGTCAGAGACATGTGCATTAAAGACAGGCAAGTTGCTGATAAATTTAGGAAAGCATACATTCGAAAGCTTCCCCTTTCTCCTGCTGTTCAAATCATGTGTAGGGTCCTCTCATCACCAAAATCTGGAACTGTATATAAAAGATGATTCTGGTAAATGCATGTTCTAGCTTCTCCATGCAATGTTGAGTATTCTTTAAAAGGTAGCAATTATGTTGAGTTGAAAACAAATAAACCATGACAAGGATGCCCTCTTCAAACAATTACATATATGAGCCCTAATGTCCTTCACCGTTTTAGCCCAAGAATTATAATCCTAAAATGTAATTCAATTAATATCACTCCCCCATTCACCGCCACAAAAAAATAAATAAACAGCAAAGACTTTCTGTAATTGACCTCCAACCTCCTCAGTCTAGTCTTCAGTGCTTTCAGAAAGCATTCATTCTTCTCAAGTGCTCATGGGTTATTCTTCAGGATAGAACATATACCAGGCCATAGAAAAATCCTCAATAATGTTAGAAGAATCAAAATCATACAAAGTATGTTCTGATCACAACAGAATTAAATTAAAAATCAACAACAACAAAAAAGATTTTAAATCGGTAATGTAAACTTCTACCTTCTGAAAATGAAGATCAAACTAAATCCCAAACAAGAAGGAAGGAAATAATACATTTCAGGGTAGAAATCAATGAAATAGAACAGAAAAGAAGAATAAATCAATGAGCTAAACATTGTTTCTTTGAAATCTATCAACACAATTGTCAAAACTTGATTGATGAAAAATAAAAAAAGAGAGAAGACCCAAATAAGTAAAGTGAAGAGTGAAAGTTGCAGAATCTAGTCTGGATCACTGGCGGAAGAACCACGTGGTACTAGGAGATCTTGGAAGGGAGGAGGTTTAACTTTACACCGGTGGGCTCAGAGGAGATCATTCTCAAGAGGTCTGAGCCCAGAGCATCAGTATAGGGAGTAATTTATAACCTGTTACTTCCACATTCCTCATTAATGCATGCGACAAGCAGGGTGGGAAGAAGAACCCGGAAGAGAGAGCCTTTGATCAGGGACAGGTATTTTCTTATCAGTTCTGTGACTATCTTATAACAGATTTTTCCCTATCAAAAGAGGGGATGTAATTGGACACTTTATGTAATTAATGGAGTAAAATGGAATACTGGGAACAACTCTATGAGTATTCCATTTTACTCCATTAATTACATAAGGCCAGCAAGTTAGCAATTACACACACACACACACACACACACACACACAGAAGTTTAAGCAGCTGAGGTTTATAACAAAATGGAGAAGGTAAAGAGATGTCCCATATTCTCTCAGCCTCCACACACACATAACCTCCCTATTATCAACATTATTTACCAGAATGATACATTTTACCAAGGGTGAACCTACATTGACACATCATAATCACCCCAAATCCATAGTTTTCATTAGGGTTCACTCTTGGTATTGTACATTCTATGGGTTTGGATTGCATAATGTCATATATCCATTATTATAATATCCATTACATCCATCCAATAATATTCCTTTTTATAATATCATATAGAATATTCTCGCTGCTCTAAAAATCCTCTGTACCAGAATATCTTTTTAAAAATTAAAAAATTACTTTTTCAAATATACTTCATTTCAGTTGACCATCAGGGAAATATATTCTCATTTATAAAACAGAATGCAAGCTGTAACATTATATATTTGAGCCAAAGTGACCTAGAATTAAACCCTGCCCAATCCCTTTTTAGAAATAGGTTATTGAAAATATTATTCAATGGGGTGCCTGGGTGGTTCAGTCAGTTAAGCCTCCAACTTCAGGCCAGGTCATGATCTCAAGGTTCATGGGTAAGAAGCCTGTGCCAGGCTCTGTGCTGACAGCTCAGAGCCTGGAGTCTGCTTTGGATAATGTGTCTCCCTCTCTCTCTCTGCCCTTCCCCTGCTTGCACTCAGTCTTTCTCACACACAAAATGAATAAACATTCAAAATATTAAAAAAAAAAAGAAACTATTGTTCAGTTATCTTGAGTTTCAATTTCCTTATCAGTAAAACGGGAATAATATTAACATATGAAGTGAATATTAGAATTAAGAGGTAATATGTATAAAGTGCTTAGCACAATGCCTGATACCTATATGTTCAAAAAGCAATTTTGGTATTATTATATATTGTTAGAGTTTGTTTTGAGGGAAAAAATATGTTTTCTCTAAAAAGTTATGAATATTCAAGAAATTAATGTTAAATTACAATTCTGTTATTATAGAATTAACATGATTGATAAATGTAGTTTATGTGTGTGTAAGAAAACTTATTCATTTTCACATGTAGGTGGATTTCTAGACAGAAAGAATTTCTTTAAAACAAATGTTGCAAATTGACTCCAGCAACTATAGGCAAAACAGGAAACAAATATGCAAAAAAATTTTAAACTTCTACAATTCTATTGGGTAGGAGGTACTAGTTGTTATTTAAATAAGTGTTGAGTATGTGAATGAGTTAGCACTTGATGGGTGATCTCACCTATAAGGAAGATCCTCCTGCCCTCATTTAGTTCTTCCTGTGCTTAAGAACTTCCTGAAAAGACAGGCCGATATTCAGAAATGCTGATGGGAGAGTAAAGTGCCAATTATCATTCCAGTTGACCCACAAACAACTCCACTCATCAGTAAGCCAGAAGCTGAGCCCTTGGAGGAAATCCTTCAATAAATGCTACAGTAAATGTGGCGAGCCTGTCACAGAATCTTTCAAAACACAGTGTGCGTCTTTTGGATTTACAAGCAACCAGCTAAGAATGTGGAGACCTACTTTCCTCTGCTATGATTTCTGTGTGCGTTTTAAGAAATAGTCCTAAATGTTACTCCTTCCCCCAAACACTTGGTGCTGCAATACTTTTCTCGGTTAATAGGAAGCATGGTTTCTTCCTGTAACTTAAGAGAAGGCATGTATTTTTCCTAAAGCAACACACAGGTTCAAGCTAAAATCTGTCAATTAAGCATTTCAGAAAATCCTACAGTTTCCTACAATAAACAGGAAACAGAAGAAAAAGGAATCAAATACATAATTTAACATCCCAAACTGAAAGAATAATTAACATTAAATTAAACATCTAGGACAGTTGATAAATATACTGTTCTTCTTGAGGCAGATTCAAACTATGATCTATAGTCTGTTATAGATTGATACTATCAATATAACTACATATTATTTTAAAAAATAATGTAACTATTACAATAACAGCATTTTTGGAGGAAATAGTAAATGCCACTTGTCAAGTTAAAAGCCTATTATAGTCAAATCCCCTAAAAATCTGTGCCTGTTATGTATATTAATGATTTTTAATAATTTTAAATTATATAGTGTAACTGTGAGCTGAAATAGAACTGTGATTCTTCATGAAAAGCAAAAATCACAAAACAACCCAGTAGCTTTCCTCAGGAAAGAAAGGACCAAAACAAATCTTTAAAACTATGGACAAGTTTTGAAAAGAAGATCCATTTTGTATTCCAGTTTTGGCTATTTAAGGTGCACCATACCTGTAGCAGGTCTGTTGAAAGTTCACATTGCTTTCATGCAGAAGGTGCTCCTGAAGAGTGAGATACATGATTTATTTCAGATCATAATAGATGTATATCAAATAAAAAGAAAGGACATCTTCAGCTTGACCCACTTTGTTCACACAAGCACCCATGTCTGTGTTTTACCTATAGTACGTTAGCATACACTCAAAATATTAAGTTCATTTTGTGCTTTGAGAGTTAGCATAGCATAATGGTAAAAGATTATGGTCAGTGCAGTCAAATTGAGTAGATTTAAACACTGACAGACAAGGCTAATTATGAGTTCTAAGATTTTGAACAATTTACTCAATCTCTCTGTTTTATAGCACTTATCTAAAAATAGAGATTCTCTGCCCTAGAGGTTTTGGGGGAGGGGTGGCTAAAGATACAATCCATATAAAGTTTTTATTATTGTCTTTGATCCACAATAAATGCTTAACAAGAATTAACTATTATCTTTATTATTATAATCTTTAAGAAAAATATTTTAAATACATTTTAGGGTTTTTTTGCCTACTATATCTATTGTTCTTTTTCCTCCATCTGTTATTGCATCCATACAAAAGGTATAGGAATCACTTTTTAAAAAATATTTTGTAATCAATATATGAAATAATTCCACAAATACTTAATAAACATCTACTATGTTTTGAGTACTGATGAAATATGGTTAAAAAATAAGTATGTTCTCTGTTTATGTGACTCTCATAACACATTAAAGATAAACTTACATAAATGTAAGAGAGGATTTTCTAATTTATTATAAGAAGTTGAAAATTAGTCCATCTGCAGACTAATTACTGAATATGGATCTAAATATGGATTAGATATAGATGTTGGCATTTTCTTTATAGCAAATAAATGCTGCCATACATGAAAGCACTACATTTATTTTTATGGTCATTCATCCATTGAATTAAATAGTTGTTGAGTCCTTCTTTATGCTGGGCTCTGGGAAGCACTCTGAACCAAAACGCTGATAAGAAATTCTTATACTCGCCCACTGAGAATGGTGGGGAAGTAGATTTGTAAGCAGAATGTGAGGTTATTTATAGCTAAAGGTGTGAGCAAAGTGCTGTGAACAAAAAAGAAGGAAGCAAAAAGAAGGAACGTTTTAGATTTTAAATTTAAAAGTTGACAAATGTAGATAGACGTATAAAAAGCAAAAGTTATAACTATGAAGAATCTATATAAGAACATTATAGTAATAGTTACAGCAATTAAATAATTGCATATAATATAATACTTAATACATTAATAATATACAAGTAATGTATTACTTAATATATAAGCAATAGAAGATATATGTAACTAAAAGTAGAATTGAAATTACAGAGATAAAACAAGAAAATGATAACAAAAACTGACTTTTGGCTTGTAAAAGAATGTCATGAGAAAACAGTGAGTAGTAACTCTTTTTATTGAAGACAATGAGGAGAAATCCAGCCTCAGAATAAGAATTCCCTCATAGCACTGGGATGTATTTCAGGGAGATTGTGGAATTACTTCTTGTGAATATTTACCAGTTACAACATAGAGTTGGAGAGAGAAGGCAAATGTCATATGCATTCATACAAAGTAAGTTCAGTCTTGCAGCTTCAGATAACCATCAACAGGATGTCTCCAAGACTGAACAGTAACACTCAAATTTCATTCTCATCAATGGCCACATATAGCAGTAAATCAACTTAAAGGAAAATGTACCCCAACTTTGACATCTGACATTTTGATTCATAGGTAGCAAGATCACATTTGGAGTTCTGACTTAAGGATGTCTTGTTGGTCAGAAAAAAGACCTCAATTATTAGTCAACAAAGATAATAGGAAGTTATTTTAAAAGCAGGTAAAAGATAGATACATCACCCTTGCGATGACAAGAGTAATTTCTCAGTTTCAGTGGTGCTTACCCTACCCACCCACCCCCACTCCCAAACAAAGGCCACTATGACAGCAATGCTGAAGTTTTCATCTAAAGGTTACATAAGTAATCTATTCTTTGTTAGACAGTGATTGAAAGAACATTGCATATTTTGACTAAGTTATGGCCATTTTGAGTGTTAGGCTTCTGGTTTCATAGATACCTAAAAAATGGCCCACAAAGTCATTTATGACTACATATCATGCACCTAATAAACGATGAACTCTAAATTCTCTCTTTTGACTGAAATGTTTAGGTTGGAATTTGGATTCTCAAGGACTAAAACAGAAGTGGAAATACTTGTGGAGAGCCCTAATATATACACTTTGGAACTGGTAGGAATTTTTCTTTGGTTGAATGGCATATATTTTCCTGTTTCAACAGTTTTTCTGCCTGGTTAAAAGTAATCAGTCTTCTATTCACATAAGTTGGTTAAGATTACTGTCTTTGCTTTCTACAAACCCAAAGTGATGTTACATCATAAAGGAAAACAGCAAGTCAAATATATGAGCTAAGTCCTAGGCAGAAAGCATTCTGACAAATGTTAGGAAGTGAGCCCTTCCTAACTTGAATTTTCAAGCAAACTTGAATTCAGTATAGCTTATGAACATTCTGCCCCCACCCCCTTAGCTTATTTGGCTTTCAAATACATTCTCTTTCCCCTTGCTCTACTTAGCATCAAAAAACACTGACCTATCCAGACTGCATTTCCTTGAGTCCTGTGTGAAGTGACTTCTGGCTGATTTGGCCAAAGAAAAGGACAAACAGGGTCAGATGGCCTCTCTGTTACAACTGCTTCTACAAGACTGACCTCATGTGGTTCCATGTTCTAGTGAGGATCTAGACTCCTTGGCTCTGGAAACAATACTTTCTTTGCTTGTCCCTCCAGGCTAGCAATGGTAGAAGATTCCTGTTATTTCTCACGATGGGTTCTCTTTCATGGATCCCTACTGGTTTATTGGCTCTTTTACTATCTATGTAACTGTTTCCCTAGAATAATTATACTGATTTAAATATTCACAGTAGCATTTTCATAACCTGTTTGAATTAACCAATATACTTCTTGGGACCAGAGACAGTCTCAAGATAGAAACCCTCAAGTTGAACTTCTGAGATAAAAGAGTCACCAGATTAAGTGGGATATTGTGAATCAGTGATTTTTAGGAGGATTATGATTATATAAATTATTACCTGTAGTTACTTGGAATAAAGTGTTAGGCAAAAGGAAGACTTTAGGAAATCAAGGAGTTACTTCACTTGACCATCCACCACAGCAATAATAATGCTTGCATCACTCATACTGCAAGGTGGAGTCTTCTCTGACATAAGAAAGCTTATAGGAAGAACAAGGTGAGAACTTTGAAGACTACAGTCAAAGCACAGGAGCAAAGAGAGAATTTCAAATCTGGAATTTAAGAGAATCTTCCACTTCTTGAAACTTCAGGGAAAACATCGCTGCTAATTAGACCTGAAGTCTAAGATGAACATATAACTGTACCAAGTCTGTTATATAAAAGTAAGGGTATTAGTGGAGAAGGAGTAGGGCTATAATAATTGGGATGTGTTTATCTCAGTGTATGTACCCCAGTAAGCCTTAGGACCATTAAGCCCCAAATTTCCCTGAACTCCTTTGCAAGCCAAAGAAATGTGTTCTTCCTTCTCTGCAGAAACTAGCTATGTTAGCCACAGTGTACTGAAAACAGAACACATACTTATATAGTATTTTGAAGTTAATTCAATGATTAAGCTTCTAAAATATGTGCTCAGTGTTAAGGAGAAAACAAGGGGGACACTGGGATAACCAGGTACTTGAAACTGTGTTCGTCTTTACCAGTCATATACCTAAAAAAGTAAGAGGAGGTCCCGGCTAGACCTAGAATCACTCAATAGGAACTCTAGTTGTAAAGAGAATCAACCATCATTTTGCATTTATCAGAAATTAAATCCAACTTTTCTCTCCACCATCCTTCCAATATTAGCTATTGGTGTCTGCATTGCCAAATCCAACTGAAAGCCAAAAGTTAGAGTGGATGGCTGACCTTCAGGGACTGGACTCTAAAAATATACAGTAGGCAGCAAAGTGTAGAGATTAGATCTGAAAGAGGAAGAGAACAAGTGAAACTATAAAGCATATTCTACTCCTCTTGCCAATTTTTATACGTTCCAGATATTTGCTGGAAGGAAAAAATTCTCAGCCCAGACAGACATCAATTATCTCATTAAAGGATAATTTCAGTTCACGTTTGATCCCCATGGAACTATTACAACATTAACCATCACCTTTACTTTTCAGAAAACATAGCAACGAATGGTTAACTTAAGTTAGAGACATAACAGTGTCCACCTGTGTGCCTGGTCGCTAGGCTAAAAACTGGTAATTAGACCTTTCTTCTTACACCCACCATTCTATGTTCTTACTCTCTGAGACCATCTCTTCCTGCCCTTTGACAGCAGCTCTACTTGACATAAGAATCCAAATATTTATTATTATAGGACTCAAGTCCTCACTGGACCTATCTTTATTGGGTTGAAGCAATGTTTCATTCATGATTATAACTGGATATAGGATTACTAAGAGGTACTTCAGTGACTTTTTTGGACCAGTCTTCCTTTGTTCCTGTGGTGGACTACCAGACCAATTTTCCCTTCATAATTAGAGATAAGCACTGTGACCATTGGACTAACCTTATTTTTTATATTTGTTTCACCAACACAAGGATCCCCAAAAGGCCATGGTGTAGTCTACCTAATTAATAGAGCCATGATTATGTCCCTTAGTAAAAGCACACCTCTTTTGGCCACTAATACCTTCAAACCCACTCAGCACCAGGCTGCAGAAGTGAGCAGCAAATGTTCAAAAATGGATTACTAAATATATCAATAAAAGGGGCCTATCTTCAGCTTGCTTACCAGATTTATACATTCTATCTGAGGAGAATTGAAATTATACGATACTCATACAGAGAATTGAAATCATTGATTTGTAACTGGGGGGCGTAACTGAATATTCAATAGCCCATAACACTATTCTATCAAATTCTTTTTGTTTTGGTGAGTAGTTCATGGTAAACCAATGATCCCTTCTCACATGAGTCCATCGTTACTTTCCTTTCACCATAAAACGAGTTCTTTGTATATAGGTAATGATGTGTACAATAACATGGCCATAAATAAAACATTATGTAAAATCTACTAATGGATGTTCTGGCAGAAGTATTTCAGACAGAGAAGGCAAGTTCATATTTGGAATATGTACATATATTCTCATGAAGACAAATCACTGCCTTGCATCTGAGGGAAGGGGTCAAAAATAATCTAACTGTGACATCTATTGAAAGGTTGGGCAGGTGGTAGGCAGACCATCCTTAATGAGTGAAAGTCTATGTTTTTGGAGCCCAGGCCTATCCCATATCTCTACATATCTTCTTTGTATATGGCCCATTGAAGATACAGTGGAGTATTTGGACAAGTTTGATTGACATCAGTAAGCTGACCCATCTTGTCCACTTGATTATGGTATCTCTGAAGTAGGTATTCTAGAAGGTATCTATTTGGTACATGATTTCTTTCCCTTTTTGCTCATTCTGTGATGTCCATCCATAGCTTTCCTGATCCTCCTTGTCATAAATATTCCAGTTTATTCTTTGATTCCAGCAAGGAAAAAGCAACTACTCAAGAACCAATATAGACCATATATAATCTTTCTTTAAATATATATAAATATTCATATATAATTCATACATGCATTATAGCTAGTATACAGCTTGACTTTTTATTAAGAAAATATTTCTCTTCACTATTTGTCTTCTACAGCCTCCCCATGCTACGCTATAACACAAACAATTGCACTTTCTAATGGTACATGCTACTGTGCATAAACATGTGCAGAGCATGTCTGTTCCTCTTTCCCTTTCAGATAACTGGTTATAAACAACTTCCTAGGAACTCCTGTGTGTAGATTGAGTAAAAAGTGGTGAGGCTGTAAGAGTAAGTATTTGTGAATTTGAGCCATCTGCTTATGCTAATTACTCTTGCAATCCAGACGTTTGACAGTTTGGTGTCACATGTACCATTTCCATTCATTCCACAATGAAAGGTCTTTGTTAATACCCAACATAATTTTATGGATAAGGTAGGCACAGAATATAATTGAAGGAAGAGGTATGGGCTCTGCTCTTATTAGAAAATTGGGGCTTGCCAGAGGCCCCGTCTACCATCCCTATCTGACACACAGATTTCCTTCATGATTAATTATGCTGTGTCATTAGGGCCAGGTGGCAGAGCAGCTTACATTTCAGACAGGGTATGCTAACGAGTCTTCTCCTTCTCCAGGTTTGACTCAAAACTGATAGTGTTATGGATTTCCAGGTAAATGAGACACAGCAGATAATCTAAAATTTAATGAAACTGTGAAGCATTAAAATTTGGCTTCTTTTTTTTTTTTTATTATTTCTAGGAGAGAGAGAGACAGCGTGAGCAGGGGAGGGTCAGAGAGAGAGGGAGATACAGACTCTGAAACAGGCTCCAGGTTCTGAGCTAGCTGTCAGCACAGAGCCCGACACAGGGCTCGAACCCACGAACCGCGAGATCATGACCTAAGTGAAAGTCAGATGCTTAACCGACTAAGCCACCCAGGCACCCCAAAATTTGGCTTCTTTCTTCCTACATGGCAGTATGAGATGGACTAAGTTATCTTTCACTTTAAAAGAATGGCTCCAACCTTCCACAAACACTAGAGGGAATCACTATTGTGGGAAACTTTTGAAATGTCTCAGGGCTGACTGTCTGCACTCAGGTGTACACCTATCTCATTAAAGCATACAGGAACCTTTCTAATTCTTCTTTACCAGATCAGTTAGTAAACTGTTCATATTGTTAGAGATGAGTGATCAAGATAAACACAATGCATTTACTCCAATATTCCCATTTTCTAAGCTTTTGTACCCCTTTCTCTATATTGTATGCCAGTGAAGTTCTGACATCTTAACCTCATTGACTCTAGTCCATTATTGAGTTCAGCATTTCCTAATCCAAAAAATCAAACCATTGAGACCCATCCTAGGGGCTGGAGCTAACATTTTAAATCCTCAATTCCAAGTACTTTTACACATTTCAATACATTTAGCTTAAAACAACTTTATATTCCATTCTTCTTCTTCTTCTTCTTCTTCTCCTTCTTCTTCTTCTTCTTCTTCTTCTTCTTCTTCTTCTTCTTCTTTCCCTTTTTTTTTTAAATAGTCAAGAGCCTTCCTCCAAAAGGATGGGAAGAGAAGTCTGGGCTGAAGACATATTAGGATACAGACACAGGCATTGTCAGCATTGATTTGGGGCTTAAAGCACCACAGTCAGATGAGATCACCCACAAAGTTACTGTAGATAAAGTCTATACAAAGACTGATCTCAGAATACTCTGAAGTTTAGAGAGAAAAGAGATGAGAAAAATCAAGAAATGACACTGAGGTGAAAAGGCCATATTTCATAGAAACACCAGGGAACTACAGTCTCATAAGCCAACAGGAGAGCATATTTGAGAAGAGAGTGATTAATTGGGGGGAAAAAATGCTGCTTTAGGAGTAAAGATGAAGAAGGAACTTTGACCATCAGCTTTCAAACATGGTGTTAATATGATTCAACAGGACAGGGGTTCTCCCTTACCTATACGGGATATGTTCCAAGACCACCAATAAATTCCTGAAATCACAGATAGTACAGAACTCCATATATACTCTATTTTTTCCTATACA